AACCGGGTAGAAACAAAAAGAGATGAGAGCTGTTTGAGTCTGCATGTGCCTGTGATTTCCTGTGTGACCTTGGACAGAACTGCTTCTTCTCTGGGCCTCATTTCTTGGTTCTTGTGTAACTTGACTTTCTTAAGCTCCACCCTAAAATAGTGTTAGTTTGCTTTAGAATATTAGACAATGTGTTTAAACCCTTCAAACAGGTTCAGTGCATGGGAGCTGCAGAATAAAGGCTAGTTACCACTCTATTCATGACTTGGGAACCAGGCTACACCACGTACTTAGGGAAGTAGCCTAGCCTGACTCTGAGGACAGTCACACCTGCTAAAACTTAGACCCCAAGTGTGGCAAAGACAGTGCTTTCTAGGGACCTCTCGGAGCTACCCCCAACCTGTCTCTTCTCCTTCCAGGGGGCTGTGAAGAGTGGCATTCACCGTACCGTCCACGCTGGGGAGGTGGGCTCTGCTGAAGTTGTGCGAGAGGTAAGGAACCAGGGACCCTGGGCCTCTTCTTCCTGATTCTGATCCTGCTCCCAGAAAACTCAGCTCCTCTCTGCCTCTCCACAGGCTGTGGACATACTCAAGACAGACAGGGTAGGACATGGCTACCACACACTGGAGGACGAGGCCCTCTACAAAAGGCTACTACAAGAAAACATGCACTTTGAGGTGAGGGTCGGAGGCTGGGCGCTGCCTCTGGCTACCCCATGCCTTTAGGACAGAGGTGGAAGGACAGGCAGGCTAGTGGGAGGGGCCAGATGATGGCGGTTTCATGGGGCTTGAAGTAAGGAGGTCTTGGCAAAGTGGGCAAGAATGGAGCCACAGCAGGTGGCTCTGCCCCCCTGGCCTGGTATGGCCTGGGGCCCACTATGTCAGCCACACACCTGCCCCTTGCAGGTCTGCCCCTGGTCCAGCTATCTCACAGGCGCCTGGGATCCAAAAACGGAGCATGCAGTTGTCCGGTGAGATCTGGTTCCTGGGACCCATTTTGTTTTCTTCTGGAAAGGAAGGGGAGGGAGTGCAGGAATGGGTAATTGGTCATCCTGGTTCATAGTAATGAAGTCACATTGACTGGTTGGGAAGCAGGCATTTCTGTCCTTGTCCAACAAATGAGGAATGTGAAGCTCAGATGTACAGACCCGACTAATAGCATTGGGGTCCCATAGCCACGGCAGAATGCCCCCTCCAAGGGAAGCTTCTACATTCTTGTCACCCCACTGTCTCCTGGGCTTTGGGAAGATGAGTCTCATCTGTCTGGGTGTTTGCTACTCTTGGTGTTGTTGAGCATGCCCTGAACGCCAGCTTGAAGCTTTTCCCCAGAGCATCTCTCCCGTACTACCTGGCTCCCATCAGCTAGAGCATCTCTCCCATACTACCTGGCTCCCATCAGCTAGAGCATCTCTCCCATACTACCTGGCTCCCATCAGCAACTAAGACCATGGCCTTCCAGAGCTGTGACCAGGTCCTTACCAGGGCTCATGAGGACAAAGCTGTCTTCTCCTAAGGCAGGATACAGATGGAAAAACTTGGGCTGCCACTGCTCTGCCAGCCAAGCTCACACAGATAGAAGGAGTGTGCTCTGATGACAAGAGGCTCTTGGGCTTCCTTAGCACACGCGTGCATGGTGCCCGTGAGACACCAGCGGCAAGTCTTGGAGACGCATGGGTCTATAGCACGCTGGCTAAAGGTTCAAGTCATCTATGCAAATACAAAGGTTGAAGAACAAAGCCTCTGGGAGATGGTGGATCGAGAGGACCAGGGAGCGAACCCACAACAGTGACATTAAGGGACAGGCAGAAACAGAAGGGAAGTCAAAAGTGTGGTGCCAGGGGCTAGGAAGACAACTCAGTGGGTAAGTGTTTGCTGTGTGGTTCAGATTCCTGGCACCCACATAAAAAGCCAGGCATGGCCATGTACACCTGTGACCTCAGTGCTAGGGGAGTGAAGACAGGAGGATTGCTGGAACTTGCTGGCCTCAAAATAGTGAACTTCAGGTTCAGTGAGAGACCCTGACCCAAAGGACTAAGATGGAGAATGAGGAAGACAGCCAACACCTTCCTCTAGCTCTGTGCATCCTCAAACATGGGCATACACACAAACAGAAAACAAAAACCAAAATTTTAAGTAATGTTTTAAAAAGTATGGTGTCAGAGAAATCCAAGATTGGTGCTTTGAGAAGAGTCAAGTGTCAAATTCTGGGACTGGAAGGATGGCTCAGTTGTGTAAAGGCGCCCGCCACAAAGCATGGCAACCCAGTAACCTATATGGTAGAAGCAGAAAACCAACCACCACAGATTGTCCTTTGGCCTCCACACATACACCATGGCATGCACATCCACACCATAAACAAATACAAATTTAGAAGTGGTGGAGAGAGGGCTCAGAGATTGAGAGCACTGGCTGCTCTTACAGTGGTCCTGAGTTCAATTCCCAGCAATCACATGGTAGCTCACAACCATCTATAATGAGATCTAGCGCCCTCTTCTGGTGCCCAGGCATATATGCTGGCAGGACACTGTATACATAATAAACAAACAAACAAAAACAAAAACAACAAAAAAGGGTGTTGAATACTGCTATCTGAGCAAATAAGGTTGGAGCTAACACAGTTGAACTCAGTAAGATGGCGGGTAGGGTTGTGCCAGGAAGTTTATGTGGTGTGCTGAAGAGCCAGCCGTATGAGAAACCGAGGACTGACCGGGAGAGGAAGGCAGGGTGCCAGACATGCTCCAGTACTGAGAGGAAGGCTAGAGGGAAGACAGCTTGGGCGGCGGCGGCGGCTGCTTTCCGGGCTCTCCAAATTGCCCTTCTCCCTGGCTGTCACCTCAGGCCATTCTTCTAGAAGCCTTTGCTTCAGGACTGACAGGGTGGCTTTAGATTAGCTCCTGAGTTTTCTAAGTGTCCTCCTTGGTACCAGAACACAACCCTTCATGTTGTCCAAGGTTGTGTAAAGGTCGAAGGGGGAAGATGGGCAGCGAAGGTTCTCGGAGTAAAGAGATCTTTTCTCCCTGCTGGCCCCTCCCCCAGCTTCAAGAAAGATAAGGCCAACTACTCACTTAACACGGACGACCCTCTCATCTTCAAGTCCACCCTGGACACTGACTACCAGATGACCAAACGGGACATGGGCTTTACTGAGGAGGACTTCAAGCGACTGGTGAGTCGGTGTGAGCTGCGGCCCTGACACTTGGCCCAGGTGTCTGTGTGAGGACTGCCTGGGAACTCTGGAAACCCACAGTCTGTTTACCCAACATGCCAAGCCGAGCCTAGCACCAAAAGCCTTCCACAGAGCTGCCTTGGCACCGGCATCCCAGCTGAGGGACCAGGTGGCTTAGCCTTTGCTTGGGTTGATGCCTCTCCCCAGAAAGGTGTCTGGCTGTGGAAATTTTGTTGCCATTTAGGCTGCTCCTCGGCTGAGACCTTGGTCTTGGGCCTGAGTGAATTCCTGAAGGGCCTCTGCCCACATCCAACCTCCTCACATCAGCACTGAGTATGGGAGCCTGTGGTCCCTGCTACGGCTCATGCTGTCCTGTAGCCTGATGCAAGCCCCTTGCCCTGGTTCACGAGGCCACTCCCTTCCTTGCTCTTCAACTCCATGTCTCCCCTTCTAGAACATCAATGCAGCGAAGTCGAGCTTCCTCCCCGAGAAAGAGAAGAAGGAGCTTCTGGAACGACTCTACAGAGAATACCAATGGCCGCCACAGGCTGAAGGTACACCTCTGCAGGGGCCCAGCAACTCTCACCCTGTCCCTCCTCTACCTTACATGTGTCTCATAGCAGAAGTCCTTGGGGGAGCAGGGGCCAGCGCTGAGACTAAGTGAGGACTGTCTGGCTTCTGGGCACAGCTGTTAGGCAGCCAACTGTCAGGGTGGCCATTCCTGAGCAGCTACTACCTGACAGGCTTCCTGAAGACTCCTCAACCATCAGGGAAGCCTGGGGTGTGACCCCAACAAGGAGCTGGCCCAGTTCTAGCTCCAGGAGTCCCTTCATATGGCCTCGGAGAGCCACACATCCCCTTCCTTGCAGCGCGTTTTGTTGTCTGTGGAAGGAAGTCTGGGCCTGGAATTCTGTGTTTTCCCCAGTGCCTTATGTGTTTTGAGTGCTCTGACCTTTCTGTCTCTCTGACTTGACCAGCAGGGCAGGTCCCCTGAAGATGGCAAAGCCACTTCTCTGAGCCTCAGCTTGTGGATGGAGTCTTCACAACTCTGTGACACTTACCTTCATTCCTTCCAGACCGTGGAGTGGCCAGGTCTGTCCTCTGATCGGGTGTTCTGGCCAAAGCCCAGGGGCCTTGCCAATCGTGGGTGAATCGTGAATTGGAAACCTTCCTTCTAAGGCTGAAAATCTGGTGTTCAATAAAGCAGCTGGTGACTGGGGTCTTGCAGCATGTGGTGAATGGGGTCTTGGGACTGGGTGGCTAAGAATGAAGAGTCCTGGGGCCCCACACTGGGGACTGGGCTAGGAGGAGCCAGGACCAAACTCCACAAGTGACTTTTCCAGAATTGTTTGAGCAGATGCTCCTCAACTCCTGGCTCCTTTAATCAGAGTCCTTTGCAGTTATTTTTATTATTTTTAAGATTTCTTCATTTTTGAGTATATGGGTGTTTTGCCTGCATGTATGTGCACCATGTGTGTGCCTGGTGCCAGAGGTCAGAAAGGGCACCATATCCCCTGGAACTAGGGTTTAGATAGTTGTAAGCCACCACCGAGCATGTGTATTTCAGAGGACAACTTGTATCAGTTCCAGGGATCCAACTCAGGTTGTCAGGCCTGGTGCAAGTACCTTTACACACTGAGCCCTCTCACAGGCCCCTTCCAGGCTGTGGTAGCCGTGGGCTGTGTGTGGATGGGGTGGGGTAGGGCTCATCAGATGCCACCTGAGGAGTTGTACTGGTCACTACAGGACAGAGGGCAGCACTGGAACCCTGCTGGCTGAGGAGGGGGGAGGGGTACAAAGCCCAGCGGGGCATTTGGTGGTTAAAAGAAGGAATCTTAAGCCAGTCACACAAATCATCAGCATTTATTTCCTGGGACCTAAGTATCACTCTCTTGTTACAAAGGGCAAAGAATTGGTCTGTTAGTTTTGAGTCCAAATCTTTTCCCTACAACTGGATCTATGAGGCTCCATGGGGGAACAGAGCTGCATAGATCATCAGAACTAAGCTTAAAACGGCTTTCAAACCAAAACCAAAACAGAAAAAAGTGATTGTCAGTTCCCCCTTCTCTGCTGAAAAAAGTTATGTTTTTAAAAAATGTAAAAGAGGCTTTAAAAAAGGGCTAGGACGGTCTTTCCAACACAGGCGGCTGGCTGGAGGGATGAGTGGTGTGGAGACACACCCTGTCCGGGTGGGGGCTGCTCACCTGGGGCAGGGCCTGGCTCGAGCCCCGCCCCCACCTGGCTGAATAAATAACATCCCGTGGTGATGGTGTACCTGGGTACCATGGGGAGGTGGAGGGAGAGTGAAGCCTGTGGGTGTGGGCAGACAACTTTGCTGGAGTACGGGCCACAGAGGCCTCCCCAAGGCTCTCAGCTGGCCTGGCTGGCCTGGGATATGGGCTCAGAGAAGAGGCTGCTGGGTTGTGCCCGGGCTCCAGTTCCAGGAGGGGACAGCAGGTCTCTCTTCAAGACGAGGCGTTCGCATCACTGCTCTGGGGCTGGCTGCTGGCCTCCTTGTCTGGGGTACTTCCCTCTGCCTGTCCTTCTGCAGGGGAGAGGAGGAGGAAGTTTGGGACACATCTGCATACTATGGAGCACAGGGGGTCTGGAAGGACCAGTCAAACTGATCATTGTGGCCAGCCTTTGGAGCAGGCTAAGAGCTGCACTGGGGCGGGGCTGACCAAGGCCAGAGATGCATTAGCCTGCTCTCTCAATGTCCCACTTTTACCATGGAAAGGCTGGCAGGGCTCTAGTATAATAAAAATCAGTAAAGGTCAGGATTGTGGACAGGTGCTAAAAACATGAGATGAATGTGTGCTCTCCAGTGGGGAACTGTGAATGTTAAGTCCCCGGCAAGAAGCACGTGCTTAGTAAATGGGAATTTCGTTGAAGACAGTATAGCAGACTCAACCAGTCCAGCTCAGAAGTGCCCACAATGGCCTGCACATCCCAAGGTAGAGGATGCACATATGGACTCCCTGACTCAGCACACCACTGCCAGCATCCACTCCTGCTCTACTCCAGCCAGCCAGAAACCTGGGCTGGCCTGAAGTGATGGACAGCAGTAGGCTGAGAGACCCTCCTGCTCTCACTCCCAGCTTCCTCTGGCCTCGCTGGGAGGTGGGACCGGCAGTTTCTGCCTCACCTACCTAACAGCAGTGTGCCCAGCTTGTACTCCGTTCGCAACCCTCCCAGGGTCAGCAACCTCCACAGAGTCTAGTTATGGGCAGAGCCTGGTTATGGGCAAAGCTCAGTCAATAGTGCAGTCTCAAGCCCAGGGACACTGTGATGCACTGAAGGTCCATCTCACTCTGCCATTGGGCCTGTCTTTATGCCTGAACTGAGCTCTGGGTCTGGCCACTGCAGGCACTCTGTTAAACAATCCACACAGCAGCCTCAAGGTGTGGTTAGAGCCACGACATCCATGAGAAAACAGGCTCAGAGGGGCAAGTTGATGGATGTACATGTGACCAAAAGGTGGAGAGTCTGCTTACTGCTAAGCCCAACTCCTTCCACTAAGCAGCATTCTCTGGAATTTATAGAGACTTGTTGGCAGGACAGCCTCCCGGTGCCCCACATGGAAGTCTTGGGCCCTGAATGTTCATGGAAGTAAATAATTTGGACAGAACTTGGCATTGTGGCTCAAGTGCGTGCCAATCTGAGCCTGCCTGGCATGAAGCTACCTCCTCTGAGGATGGTGACTGAACCAAGGCTCTATCCCACAAGGTTCTTCTGGGCCTCTGGAGGCCTAACACCCATGACTGCAACCAAGGCAACATTTGCATTTTGTGAAGTCCTCCATGAGCTGCGACCCTTTGAACTCCCCATGGTCTTTGACTCCCCATGGTCTTTGCTCTGTTACTCTGCTCCTAGAGACCGCAGGCAAGTCACTTTGCAGAAGCCAGGCTGGCAAGGATGAAGACATTCTGAACAGACTCTGTGTCCCTCACCTTGGTTGTCAGACTATTGAAACATGGACCCCAAGAAACTAGGAATTCCCCAGGATCTCCTGCTGAAGAAAAGCCTAGAGCCCGAGCCAACCAGAGGGACTTTTCCCCGGAAAGAGCTCTGCGACTTGTCAGACCCTGAGGACAGTGGCCCCAAACAATGAAGGGTCCATGACGGGCAGGACCACACCTTGTACAGGACTGCTTAGGTATTCACAATTCTGGCCTCTATTTAAACCTGCCCTCATGGCAGGGCCCCAAAGATGAACTTGGAAGGGTCACTTGATCTCTTTGTCCCTCCTTCCCAATGTGGCCATGCTGAATAAATTACCTTTTCCTGATCTTTATGTTAAATTGGCTCTCAAAATTTTACTTTCACTTTGAGTGTTTTGCCTGCATGTATGTGTATAAGTGTTTTACTTGTATGTATGTGTACCACATGCATGCATGATACCTCTGGAGGCCTGGAACTACATATGGAGCTACATATGGCTGTGAGCAGCTATGTGGGGGCTGGGAACCAAACTCGGGTCCTTGATAGAAACAGCAAGTGGTGTTAACCACTGAGCCATCACTCCAGCTCCTAATTTGGTTCTTTTAATTGTCATACTGGGGACTGACATCTGAATCTGGCTTACTGGAGCATAAGATGTGACCCTAATTTCTCTCTAACAACCGTATATCCTCTGTGCCAGCCCGAGAAGAAAGAAACGGTGCTGCCCAGGGTCAGCGCCCTGTCACCCCCACGGCTAGCCTGTGGCTTCTCTTCCTTTAGGCAAAGTAAAGAAACATCTGTGCTCCTTGTCTGAGAAGATACCAGGAACAGACAGATTCACACAGCATGCTGGAGAGTGCTCACACACAGAGCAGGACAGAGGCTCGGGAAGATCAGGTAGCCAGGACCTCTTAAGCCTTTGAGGACTTGTCCTGCTTAAGTTATGTATCACCCTTGGAAGTTCTGACAGAGAAAAATTCTGGGGCCCTTGGCCTGCTGGGTCAGAATCTCAGGGGTGGCATTAAGGCTCTGTCCTCTGTCTTTGTGAGTCTGCTGGGCTCAGAAATGCCTGGAGACGTTTTATTGTGAGGCCTCCTCACAGAAGCTTCTCATAGCTGGTCTCTTTGCCCCAACTCTACCAAAGCTGCTCCAATCCCTGGCAGCAAGCACTGTTGTCTCCATGTCTCCTTGTTAGACACCAGTCACTGTGGCTAGCAGGCATCATGTACTGGGAGGACCCAAATGCCACAGACTCTCAGTTAGGGCAAACAGTGTTGTAAGGGCATGTATGAGGGGACTAGCGGCTTTGATGGCTAGGGTGGAAGGCACCAAAGCTGACTAGAGCTGAACAGAGCACAGAAGCCTTGAAGAAACCCTTGGCACCGTGCCTGGTGTGCCAGCTGGACACACTGCTCATTCGGCTGGGCAGTGAGTAGCCATTGAGGAGGAACCTGTCACGTGCCAAACAGTGCTAGTCACAGAGGGCATGTGCTGGAGCGGCTCAGTTCAGAGGGGTGCTGTGCTTACAGGGCACGGAGACAAAGGGAGAAAAGGGGCTCCTCTGCCAGAGACGAGCTGTGGTCAAGGAAGGCCTGGGCACAAATAGCACCACAATGAGAAGCAACCACCGTGTGTGGAGCAGGCAGTTGAAGAAGCTCATCACAGCTTTTGAGAGCCTGCAGGCCTTTCCTCTGGCTGGAAGCCAGAGCACGATGTGTGGAGTCAGAGTTGAAGCTGCATGGGGATGTGGCATGAGCCCTGTGGAGTTGTCCACACCTGAGCAACAGTAGGGACCAGCACGAGTGAGGCCAAGAGGAGGTGAGAGGCAGGACACTCTCTCAAGGCACAGAGATTGTCATACTAACTATGGTCATTTACTGGGTGAACCTAGGAAACCTCCCAATTTCTCCTGACCTCAGCTGACCTATCATATGAAAAGCTGGGTTCCAGCCCCCAACATCTTCTCTGTTCTGTCCTCCTAAGTCACTTCTGGGTAATAAGGACCAAGAATTCAAGACTAGAGCCCCCCAGGTAAGGACAATGCTATGGCTCTGCAAGGTCTGACTGCTCCTGGGTAACACAGGAGGAAGCCCCAGTGCATTGTGGGAAGTGGTATGGCAAGCATGGCCTTGGTGCCTGCAGCAGAGAAGGACTGGTAGGGAAAACTTCCCAAGGAAGGGTCTGTAGCTATCTGTGGAGTTGAGCTGAGCAGAGTCCTCTTAAGAGAACAGAGGGAGAAGTGGGGAGCAGGGTGTCCCAGGCAATACTGGGTGCTTCCTCTTGGTTTCTTCACTGGGTCATTCAGCCTGCGGTCACCAACTGCCTGCCATGTGCAGGAAGAACAGAGGCCCCTCTCTCCTGGAGCTCAAAGTCAACAAAATGAGACCTTTGAGAGTAATATGGCTGGGGCAGCCCATCAGCTCTCAGGGGCCGGCCACTCAGAGCATCTGCTAAGCTGGACCTGAGAGTAAAGGGCCAGCAAGTGGCCCTAGCTCCATTGGGGATGTTCTAGATGGGTAACAGTGAAGTAAAGGCCCTGACAAGGATGCTCTGCACCATGATAGAGAACTAGACAAAGATGGCTGAGTGGGGTAAGGTGTGGTTAACAAGGCACAAGTAGACCCAAGGCCAGGCAGCTGGCAAGCAGTGCGTGACTTCTGGCAAGCAGAAGCCCGACAGGACTGGATGGCTAACGAATCCTGCTGTCTGCAGTGCAAGAAGGGCAGGGATTCCTAGTGAACAGCAGGTAATATGGCAGCTATGGGGAGGATGAGAGGATGAGGCATGAGGAGTTAGGATATATCACAGAGATTGACAGGGCTTGGTGGTGGAGTGGGAGCAGAAGGGAAGTGCCCTCGATGCTGGCTGGAGCCCTCAGGACCAAAATGCTGACATTCTCCAACCTAGACATTGGCTGGCTTTGCCACTGATCAGTAACAGTCCCAATTATACACACTTCTCTGAGGAAGTGTAGAACCTGGAGACCAGCAAGAGCTAGCAGAGCACCTCCCCACCTGCCCACCTGCCCACTGGGATGCTGGGCATTGGCCTGACCTGCCCCCTCAAGTGCCAGCTCGCCCATGTCTCCAGCTAGCTTCCGCACGCTCACAGCCTCTGAGTCACCCTGGATGTCAGGGACTGCATTCCGACGGCCCGCTCGGTCGCAGGAGATGAAGTCCGAGTAGGAGGGCTCGACCTCCATCATGCCTGTCGCATCGTTCCTCAGGCCTGTGGGGACAGGGGCAGGAGAACAGAAGTGAGGCGCTGGCAACCTCTGACAAAATGGCATGACCACTTTTCCACTGAGAACTAGGAAGAAAGCATAGCAAACAAAAGGGACCCAAACCACTGTAGTCCCAGCTAGACCACTATCCACATCGTAGAGAACAGCATGGAGCCAGGGGGTGGTGCATGGCGGTAATCTCAGAAGTGGAGGCAGAGGCAAGATCTCTGTGAGCTCTAGGCCAGGCTGGCCTACAGCGAGTTCCTGGACAGCCAGGGCTATGTAGAGAGACCTTGTTTTATTAGAGAGAGGGGAAAAAAAGAATGTGTGAGGGCCAGGAAGATGGCTCAGTGGGTAAAGGGGCTTGCCACCACACCTGATGGTCTGAGTTCAATCCCCAGACACCACATGGTAGAGAGAGAACTGACTCCTGTAAATTGTCCTTTGACCTTCATACCTTTGTACCTTCACTCACGCACGCGCGCGCGCACACACACACACACACACTCACACACACACACGATGAAATAAATGTAAAAAATATCTTTAAAAAGAGCATGCATTCAATCTTCATTCAAAGTAAATTTGATGATCAGCATTTCCATGCTTACCATATCATGCGCCTGGCCCTGTCTTGGGGCTACAGAGGGAGCAAAGAACAGCCAGCACCGTTCCCCACCTCACGGAGCTTAGAGCATCAAGCTACCATGGTTTAGGCCATGATCACGTGTTCAGGGCTTCAAGGGTGCTACAGGGATGGCCAGGACCCAGCCAAGACTCGGAATCAGGAAGTACTACAACAGTCCAGATCCAAGGATGGTGTGGGAAGAATCTGGGCATGGTGGCTTACACCATGTTGTACTCCCAGCACTCAAGGGACTGAAGCAGGAGGATGGTTGTGAGTTTGAGGCCAGCCTGAGCTATGCAGCTGCATGTTGAGCTCTGGGATAACAGAATGAGACCCTGTCCCAAAGTAAAATTTTAAAATGGCAAAAGAGAGAGGCAGAGAGTGTCCTAAGGAAGGGAACAGCAATTCCTGCTCTGAGGAAGGACAATGGGTAGAGTGGCAGAGCAGAAAGGTCTTGTAGGAGGAGACAGTGACACCGAGGGCCCTGAGGGTAGGCAGAGGCAGACCACATCCCGGAGGTGTCGTAAGTCATGAAGACAAGCTGAGTATTTCAAAGACAATTCTAGCGTCTGTGTAGAGCAGGGCCTGGACGGGGGCAGGTGAGGAGGCTTCAGGAGAGGTCAGGTATGAGAAGAAGACAGCAGGGGTCAAGCAGGCCTGAGATGGATTCTAGACACAACCTGAGAAACAAGCATGTGGGCAGTGTCTGGTTGACAGGGAATTTTGGTTTCTGACATGAGTCAGGAGATAGCCAGAGGCGTGGCTACTGAAATGGGACCCACAGAGGAGCACGTGGGATACCAGGTGGGTGGAAAGCAACTGTTGACTAGTTAATCGCCTGGCTGGCTTCAAGTTTCCCATGAGCCCTCCAGTGGGAAAGGTGGGGCAGGCACATGAGGAGGCTAGAGAGGAAACAAAGGTGTGAAACCAGGAACTGTGGTAGACAACACTCTGAGCACAGAGAGGACACAGTAATTATTTAGGGATCATATCATACATCACATGTACATCTACACATCGTACACCACAGCCTATTCTTTGGAGCAAAGACCCTATCCCTCTCCGGACCAGTTTGCCCACCTGTAAAATGGAGGTGTGGGGAGATGGAGGGGGCACACAAACTCTGTGTGAGCAGTCCCCACTGCATCCAGCAGATGGCGCACCCTGCCTAGACTTCTTAGCTGTGGTCTTAGCTGTGGTGAGGGCCTCAGCTGAAGGAATTCCTGGGGGTGGTTCCTCCTGCTAGCCACTCAGCAGCCCCTTCCTTTAGGGAAACTGTTCGAAGCCCCAGTACAGGTAAATGGCCGTCTGCAATGGTGATAACACCGTAGGAACAACTACAAATGACAATGCCACCAGCTTTGGAAAGAGTGACAGGGCAGTCACCAGGCTCTTGTTTCATATCCATCACTCTCAATGGCCCCACCCAGTAAATACGCACTGTGTAGCTTTATAACCTGACTTGGAAAGGTCTCAGGCAGATCCATGTGGCTCCCAGGCTCAGATGTTTCCCCATGTGACACCAGCTGCCCATGGGATGGGTCAGACCCTGGGCAGCCCACACCATCTGCTGCAGCCTGTTTCCTCCATGAAAAGGAGGATTTGTGTCGGGATATTCAATGCACCAGACTGAAAGGCCTGAGCTTGGCAGCCGAGCCAACATGCTCTGCTGCTTCCTTCCAAGATGCTCCACTCGGCACCTGCTCCAGAAGAGGAGTGCTCTATAAATAAACCTGGATCACATTGCTTTTCATCCACCCACCCACCCACCCAGCCATTCTCTCCCCCTGCTACCTATCTATGGGATGACAGAATGACTCCATGGGCTGCAGGGGAAGGCTCTGCTGCCACAGAGTGCTGCACTGTTCTTGCCTATCTCCAGGATCTGACACCAGCAGATGGAGTTACCTGCTAATCTCAAGTGCCAGCCACTCTCTGGGACACATTCCCTGGGGCTCTGACCTTGCTCCTATGAGCTGCACGGCAGAAAGTTGATGCTGTTGGCACTGAGAAAGATCACTGTCAAGCCCCAAACCCAGTCCTGGAAAGCATCTGTCCCCATCCCTCAGGGAACAGAGATTCCAAACACAGCTCTGGGGAGTTTTCAGCTCTCACACCAACACCTAAGCTCACATTTCTTTCACATCTATATTCTTCACCCTGTGATGGCATAGACCTGGAATCACAGCTACCTGGGGGGCCAAGGGAGGATGATCTCAGGTTCAGCTAGCCTAGGCTACATAGCAAGATCCTGTCTCAACAGATAGACAAACACGAGGAAATGCTCATGTATACTGTTAAGTGAAATAAAATCATATAATCACATAGTGAATATTTAAATTATGAGTGATTTTTTAAGTATTTTATATTTTCTCTACCTTTTTGAGACAAGGTCTCGTGTAGCCCAAGCTGGCCTTGAATTCACCATATAACCACCACTGGCCTTAAACTCCTGATCTCCCTGCCTCTATTTCCCAAATGCTGGGATTACAGGTATGCACCACACCTGGCTTACTTTCTAAATCCTCCTTAGGGAAACAGTTATGTTTTTGTTATTAATTATTTTTAATGCTGGAGATGTGACCCAAGGCCTTCTGCATGCTAGGCAAGTGTTCTACCACTGAACTACAACCCTAGCCCATAAATTATCAAGTTTTAAGATATGTGTGCAAGAGGAATAAAACTCACAAGGTGCAAGAATTAGGTGTCTCCACTCTACTCCAGACACTCTCCCCAAGAATTGGGTGTCTCCACCCTACTCCAGATACTCTCCCCAAGAATTGGGTGTCTCCACCCTACTCCAGATACTCTCCCCAGCACGATATATCTTGGGTCCTCCCACAAATGTCTGTGTCATACACAAAGTCTTTCCCTTCCTTTTCCCTTAAAATTTTTGCAAACAAAATTTTCATTTTATATCTTTATTATTATCGTGTGTGTGTGTGTGTGTGTGTGTGTGTGTGTGTGTGTGTGTGTATGCATGTAGCATGAAGTGCGTGAGTGTAGGTGTGTGGCAGCCACATTGCTCATATGGAAATCAGAGGACATCTTTGTGGAGCTCTCTCCTTGTGTCCTTCTGGGTGGTCAGGCTTGTGAGGCAAGAGACTTAACCACTAAGTCATCTTGTTGGGAGTCCTTTCTCTTCTTTTGGAGAAAGGGTCTCATGCTGTGGACCAGGCTGGGCTGGGACTTAATATATATCCCAGGTGGGCCTCCAACTCACAGCAATCCTCCTGCTCCAGCTTCCCAGATACTAGGATTACAGGCTTGAACTATCATGTCTGGACAAAACTTAATTTTTCATCTTGCTTTTCTTCATTCAAGCATATGTCTTAGAAACAAGTCCAAATTCCCCTGAAACCCTATACGACGATATCAAAATGCTAAAAATACATCCAAAGTCTCCCAGCCCTCAGCTGTCGCTGGCAGCTGCATGATGATCCTCTGTGGTCACTGCTACAGACTGATTTAACTGCTCCCCACCCGTAAAACCTGGAGCCTGTTTCCTTAAAAGCAGAAATGCCACATCAAAGGCTCTGTGCTTTTTCACTGTCCTAAGTCCTGCCCAATTTTCCTCCACAGGCTGTTTCATTTTCATTCCCATTTTAACCATCCTGTGCTGCTAAAACAGAATACCTGAGTCCGAACCATCCTCAGCCCCATGCTTCATGTGAATACGGAATGTATACACAATCAAGGTTTTAATGATCACAGGTCATTCTTTTATAATCTCCCTTCCACAAGGACAAACACCGTCTTTCTTTTCTGTTTCCCAGTGTGCCCTGGAGGGCTTTCCAATGCCTGCATGCACTGGGTACTTCATATTTACTGAATAAATAATGAACTACTAATAGCCTGAGTCCTCCTCCTTAGCAGCCAGGCTGGGTCACTATCAGCACCCTGTGGTAGGTGTAGGACTCCTCTACACTCCACTCGAGAAATGAGAAGAACTGAAGTGCCTGAACTACTGGTGCCCCCATGCTCTCCTTCAGGCTCTTCTCTGTTTCTTCTAGTTGCTCTGCACATCTCTCCATCCCGTGACATGGCCATCCACCTGCTCAGCATCAACTCTCTCATGCTGAGATGCAGACACCTGGGTGACATCAGTAGGAACAGCAACATTCTGTTCCTTCCCAGGTCTCTTGTTTATTCTTTCTCCTGGGCAAGGAGCTACCTCCATAACCTGCTGCCCAAGACAAAACTCTATGGCCCTCAGCTCACTTCTTCCACACAAGCTGGCCTATGACAGCGCTTTCCTTCTGGCATATTCATCTACTCCCTACCTCTACCTCCGGCTCACCCTCAGGTCCTTCATCCTCTGCTGGCATGAGGGACACTCAAAAACAGTCAGGCTCATGGTCACCCCTGGCTCAGAAA